CTGAGCCCGGCCAAGGGCTCACACCTTTAATCCCAACACTTTGGGAGGCCGAGGCGGGAGGATTGCTTGAGCCCAGGAGTTCCAGACCAGCCTGGGCCACACAGGGAGACCTTATCTCTACAAAAAAAAAAAAAATCAGCCAGGTGTGGTGGCACGCACCTATAGCCCCCGCTACTCGGGAGGCCTAGGAGGTTGAGGCTGTGGTGAGCTGTGACCGTGCCACTGCACTCCAGCCTGGGTGACAGAGTGAGACTTTGACTACAAAATAAAAAATAAAAACCTAACCGTCACATGTGGTGCCTGGGTGCACACACAAGCATAAATCTGCGTTTGCACACAGAATGTGAGCCTTCAGCATGTACACATTCATGTATGTACACCGGTGCAGTGTACACACACATGTCAACACACAGCATGTGTCACATGCTCCTATGCCATCAGGGCTAGGCAGAGTCAGCAGTGTGGCAGGAAAACCTGCCGGGGGCTGGGACCCGGGCTGTGGGCCTGGGCGCAGCTTGAGGGGAAGGAGCTGGCTACCCCGCTGAGTGAGTCAAGAGTCCCCTCCCCTGCCAGTGCTGGAGGTGAGCTCGGCCATCCCCATCATCATGGGCTCCAACATCGGCACCTCTGTCACCAACACCATCGTGGCCCTGATGCAGGCGGGGGACAGGACTGACTTCCGGCGGTGAGGGGCAGGGGGGCTGGGGGCGGGCAGTCCCAGATGCCGGGAGCTCCCAGAGTGAGGGCATCCTGGCTGCGGCCTGCCCTGCAACGCGACCTCCCTGCCCAGGGCCTTCGCAGGGGCCACGGTGCACGACTGCTTTAACTGGCTGTCGGTTCTGGTCCTGCTGCCCCTGGAGGCCGCCACCGGCTACCTGCACCACGTCACTGGACTCGTGGTGGCCTTCTTCAACATCCGGGGTGGCCGCGATGCCCCGGACCTGCTCAAGATCATCACGGAGCCCTTCACGAAGCTCATCATCCAGGTGGTAGCAGGGCCCCGTGCAGGGTCGGGGGATGGCGGGAAAGTCCAGCCTTCCCTCACTCCCTCGCCCACATCTTGCCACAGCTGGACAAGTCCGTGATCACCAGCATCGCCACTGGGGACGAGTCCTTGAGGAACCACAGTCTCATCCGGATCTGGTGCCACCCAGACCCCGTGGAGGTGAGTCCCAGGCCTGGCCCCAGGTAGGAAGACAGAGCCCCTCCTCAGGCTGTTGGCTTCCCAGCCTGTTCAAAATGCTCCGGACAGACCCCGAAGGTCATTGAGCCAGGAGAGAGCAAAATGTGGTGCTGTGCTCATGGTCAACACTGCTCATCCTCCCAACCTCACACACGGCGGTTGGCAGACGTCACCGATTGGTTAGCATTGGCATGCGACGGATCCGGAGGTTCTCAAAGGGTGGTCCCGGACAAGCAGCATCCCGACCACCCAGGAGCCTACTAGAGGGGCGAATAGCCCTGCCTTTCCCTACTGAATCCGAAAAAGCATGGTGGCTCAAGCCTGTCATCCCAGCACTTTGGGATGAGGATTGCCTGAGCCCAGGGGTTCAAGACCAGCCTGGGCAACTTGGGGAGACCTCGTCTCTACAGTAAATCAAAACAATTAGCTGGGCATGGTGGTGCACACCTGTAGTTCCAGCTACTTGGAAGGCTGAAGCAGAAAGATCACCTGAGTCCAGCAGGTCAAGGCTGTGGAGGCCGTGCGCATGCCACTGCACTCCAGTCTGGGCGACAGAGTGAGACTCTGACTCAAAAAAACCACAAAAACACCAGGAGTGGGGCTCGGTGGCCCTCTAGGTGTGCTCTGGGCTCGAGTTTGAGAACTTCTGACCTGGCTCAGCCTCTGGTTTCACAAGTAAAGACACAAACTCCGAGAGCTGTCCTAGAGTGTCGTGGCTCAAGGACCCCAGGGGAGGTTAGTGACTCGACTGGGCCGTGTTTGGGGACCCAGGCCCTGTGGGGAGGCATGGGAAGAGGGTGCTAAGGGTACCAGGGAAGCAGGATGAACAAGAAGTGACCGGTGGGCTGCATGGAGACCTCCTGGGGCACACAGCAGCCACTCATGCTGGCATCAGGGCTCCTTCCCTGGAGATCACCATAGATGGGAGTCCCTTGACCTTCTGCACCGTCTGGAGCTTCTGATGCCCGGAACTTCTGTCTGGGCCGATTGGACATATGCAGGCAACGCATACGCTTTCTTCCTCTGCCATCGAAGGGGAAATGCTTCATCAGAACCATCACGCACAACACGCTCCTCTTTCATCACTGCGTACGAGACTCAGCTCCATTTCCAACAAGATATGAGAAACTCGAGGCTGCAGCAGGAGGACAGCCTGTCTCCCTCCCCAACCTCTCCACATGCGTCTCCACGTTCCTGGACCTTATCCTGGCATGAACAGAAATCCCGCATTGGAGTCGCCCAGCGGTGCTCCTTGGCATCTGAAGCAGCTCTCGCTTAGTCCTCTGAGTGTTCAAGGCAGCCTGATATCAAAAAGCTGGCGCGGGCAGCTTTGATGCTGGCTTGGTGACCTCTCTGATACATCAACCGCCTTTTCCCGAGCTCCCTGGGCCCTCGCCGAGCTCTCTGAATCACCACCAGCCTCTCTACTTCATAGCAGGATCTGGACAAGAGAGAAGTCACACGCTTTGCTCTTCATGGAAAACCGGTTACGGAAGAGAGCCGCGTTCCGCAACCCCCCGCCTCCCCCGAGTCCCTGCTGCAGCCTTGAGCGGGTGTTGGCTGGCGGCACACACCTCCTCACCTGCTGTAACCCTTGTGCCACACTGGCGAGGTGGATGTGGGGATCTCACCTCACGCAGAAGGCACCCAAGCTCTGCGCTGGGGAGGGCCCCGCCCAGGTTGGCTCTGCTGGGGCCTCCTTGGGCCTCCCTCCACGGCTGTCGCGGCTGCCACTTGCCTGAGCACTGGTTTCTTGTCCCTACTTTGCCAGGAAACACTTTTCTTTTTTCTTTTTTGAGTTGGAGTCTCACTCTGCCACCCAGGCCGGAGTGCAGTGATGCAATCACAGCTCACTGCAGCCTTGACCTCAATCCTCCTGCCTCAACCTCCTGAGCAGCTGGGAAAACAGTCACGTGCCACCATGCCACCTATTTTTTTTTTTTTTTTTTCTTATGGAGACGCAGTCTCACTATGTTGCCCAGACTGGTCTTGAACTCCTGGGCTCAAGCAATCCTCCCACTTTGGCCTCCCAAAGTGCTGGGGTTATAGGTGTGAGCCGCCATGCCGCCAGGAAATGGCAGTGCCAGGGCTGGATTTCCTTGACTTGGAGAGTAGCTGGGGGTGGGATCCAGCTACCTGCTCTCACCCTCTCTCTGGGACTGTCACCTCCGAGAAGATGACTCACAGCCATGGATGTGCTTGGTCTTGTGAAGTGCTTGTCCTTTGGCGACAGCCTCCTCGGGCGCCCTTCCACCCTGTCCTCATTGCCTCCAGCTGCCACCACGCTGGGCCCGACCTCATCCCACCTAGTCTCAGGGAACTCAGGCCACCAGGGGGAGGATAAGCATCTGAGGCTTTCCAGGTGGGGAAGGAAAGCCAGAGGCAGCTTCAGGATCCCAACGCTTCTTGGCACTCCCGGGCCTGACACCCTGTGGATTGTCACCCATGCCTGCCTGGTTGGAACAAGCACCCTCTGAGGACTCGCAATCTGGGAAGCCCAGATGATCACATCCCATTTCACAGACGAAGGAACAGCCTCAGAGGAGAGTGGTGGCTTGCCGTGCAACTGAGGCAGGATGCAAACCCTCGTGGAGTCCTGACTCTCCGTCTCGTGGCCTCTCCCAGACCGCAGTCTGGCATCCCACCGTGCACATCCATTCTCCATTCTGCTCATTAGGCCTGAACGCGCCAGGTGACCACAGTCAGCAGACACCGGCCAGGGGTGGTGGGTGTCGTGCTAAGGGAGCTTCTCCTCTTCGGCACCAGAGGGCGCTGCGGACACGGCGCTCGCCCTCCGCTTCCAGAACAAAGGCCCTGAGCTCTCCTCCCTCCACGGGGAGGCCACCGCGCAGGCCTACATCCTGCCGGTCTTCTGCCAGCTTAATCACCTCCTTCAGTTCCCAGAGGTGCCTTCTTAATTTAGGGTGTCCCTGCAGGCACTTAAATCCCATCTCCCTCTTCCAAGACGCTTCTGATTCGCCCCTGGGAAGAGGCGAGCGGCGTTGGGAACCTCACGCTGCAGAGGAAGAAATGGAGGCCCAGGAGGTTAAGTGTTCGGTTCAGTGTCCCACAGCTGGGAACGGCTGGCTCAGCTGGGTTGTGAGCCCAGGGCTGTCCGAGGTCCAGTCGTTCTCTTCCTCCCGCAGAGCCCACCACCCGCTCCACGCCCCCTCCCACCCCGGGCCCAGACACCCCCCAGACCCTGGGCTTCCCAGCTCTTCTCTCTGGGCTGGAGTTTCCGCCTTCTCCCTCAGCCCTATCAGAAAGCCCCAGGGCCCACTCCCTCCCCTAGGTGCCCCTCAGTCTGGCTTTTCTGCTGTCTCTGTGCTCCTCTCTTGCACTTGAGAGCCTCTGGACTTCCCCTGTGCATCAGCCGGGGCCACACAGCCCCAGGAGGGAAGGTCAAGGTTTCAAAACCCTGGAGGTCCTGGCCTTCCACCTTGCCTTGTCTCTGACTCCTCCAGCCCTCAGGGGAGACCCCAGCAAAGCTCCCTGTTCTCCTCCAGCCTCCCCAGGGTCCACAGATCCTCCTCCCCCAGCAGACCTTGGGGCCCAGCCCAGCGTAGGCAGCGGGACACAGGTTGGCCAGGCACCCTGGAGCTCCTGGCTGGGGGTCCTCAGGAAGATCCAGCAAGCCCCTCCCCAGCAGGGCCAAGGTCCTCAGGCACGTCTACAGGAGTGACGGCTCAGCCAAGCGCACACACAGCTTCCTTCCACGCGATTCTGACCTGGCTCAGGGAGAGACGGCGTCTGACCCTTATTCGGAGACCGTTTCCTGAAGGCTTGTCATCAGCCAAGCCCTTGCAGTGAGCACCCCACACACTTCTACTGCAACCTTTGCAACGGCTCTTTAAGATCCTGCCTTAAGGCCGGGCTCAGGGGCACACCCTGTCATCTCGGCACTTTGGGAGGCCGAGGCGAGTGGATTGCCTGAGCCCGCAGGTTCGAGACCAGCCCCGGCAACTTGGCGAGACCTCATCTCTACAATAAATCAAAAATTAGCCGGGTGTGGTAGCGTGCACCTGTAGTTCCGGCTACTTGAAAGGCTGAGGCAGAAGGATTTCCGGAGCTCAGTGGATTGATGTTGGGGTGGCCGTGAGCGTGCCACTGCTCTCCAGCCTGGGTGATGGAGTGAGACTCCAACTCAAAAAGAAAAAAAGATCCTGCTTTAGAGAAGACAGACTCAGAGAGGTGGCAGCAGCACACCCAGGGTATTTGGGATAAGAAGAAGGATTTGATCTCAGATCTGCCTGACAGCAGGCACTTGGCTCTCTCCCTTACCTGCATGGCAGTTACCGTCCCTTTCCCAGCCTGTTTTTCTGATCTACCCCATCTGAGACTATTTTTTCCTGGCTTCTTAGCCTGCAATACAGACCCGGACTTGATGGCGCCTTGATGTGACAAATTGGGAACACAAACGTGTGTGCTGTCCCACTCGAGGAAGTACATCCCCTGAAATAAACCAGACGCTGTGAGCAGCTCTTACCTCCTTCACGCATGCGTTAAATGACACGCTGTTTAGAGCAAAACCTACAGGAGCTATAAACATGGAGGGGCTAGCACCCTACCTGAGCCCCCACCCTCAGCCCGGGAGAGGTTAGAGGGGTGTGAGATGCAGGGCCCTGGGGGCAGGGAACTGGGACGGGGGCTACACCAGCTCCCAGCAGAGGCAGAATGTGAAGAGAGAGGCTGTGGCTTGCCCGGGACCCCCCGGGGGGGGAGCGGGGGGGGGGGGGTGGAGGCTGGTGGCCCTTGCTGGGCATGTGGCCCTGGGAGGAACTGCTCCTTTGCCGGTGTCCATCCCTCCTCTGTGAGCTGGCCTTCTCCCCAGCCGAGCCCAGCCACTTTCTCCTGCCATTGCTAGGTGGTTGCTGGGAAAGGTAGGGGCCTTGGGTTACATTGTAAAAGGGTTACACCCTTGAGCCGGGTACAGGGGCTCACACCTGCAATCCCAGCACTTTGGGAGGCGGGGGTGAGAGGATTGCCTGAGCCCAGGGTTTCAAGATCAGCCTGGGCAACTTGGTGAGCCCTTATCTCTACAATAAATTTTTTAAAAAGTTAGCTGAGTGCGATGGTGCATACCTGCGGTTCCAGCTACTTGGAAAGCTGAGGAGGAAGGACTTCCTGAGCCCAGGAGGTTGAGGCTGCAGTGGCCATGAATGTGCCACAGGGTGACAGAGACTCTGACTCAAAAAAAAAAAAAAGATAACCCAACAAGGCAACCAATTTGTGGTCCAGAAGCCCAACAGGCTGCTTCTGTCGTCTTCGTTGCCAACATTTACAGGGTGGGAGGCTTGTTTGTTTGTTTGTTTGTTTTAGTTGGAGTCTCACTCCATAGCCCAGGCTGGAGAGCAGTGGCACACTCATGACCACACCATTGTCAACCTGCTGGGCTCCAGCTATCCTTCCATCTCAGCCTTCCAAGTAGCTGAAGCTACAGGTGCATGCTACCATGCCCAGCTAATTTTTAAAATTTTATTATGGAGATGAGGTCTTGCCAAGTTGCTCAGGCTGGTCCCGAGCCTGCAGGCTCCGGCAATCCACCTGCCTCAGCCTCCCAAAGGGCTGGGATTATAGGCTGAGCCACCAAGCCCGGCCAGGGTGGGAGGTTTTATCTAAAGCTAAAGCTTTAGCCATGGTTCCTCTCACAAAGCTGGGCAATGTGGCCATGCTGGGCTTCCCTGGAGGGTGACAGTGGCTGGGAGCTGAGTCTCTGCCAGCCCTAGAGGCCCAGGACATATTCCTCCTCCACACATAGCCTGGGTGGCTCTCAAAGGTGGCCAGCTGAGCCCTGGGACCCTCAGAATTGGAGGGTCTCCCTAGGAGCCACTCATTTCACTGAGAGTGGGGGGGGAGAGGGGGGGATGGGCAGACCCCTTCCCGTCTGACTCCCTATGGGTAAGGCCGGGAGAATGGAGGTGGGGCTGAAGGTGCCTTAGAGGAGAGGGTGGGGCCAGGACACTGGGGGAGGGGCAGAGAAAGGGATTAGGGGTGAAAGCGGAGGCAGCGTCTCCAGGCAGCGAGGACCGTGGTCAGCAGCTCCCAAGACTACTGGCTTGGAGGGGAACGAGGACAAGAAGCCACTGGGTGTGGCTCTGGCGAGAGCCAGGTCGATGGAGAGATGGGCGGACCACGCGGAGGCCTGCGTGCCAGCGTCTTCTGCGGCAAGTCTTTTCATCCGCGTTTCTTCAGCGGAGGAGGCGGGTTCAGAGAGGGCAGCAGATCCGTCAGTGGCCACAGAGCCAGGAGCCCCTTCCCTAGCTCCCCATCCCTGCCTGACCCCACCCTAGCCCCAGCCCCAGGCTTCGTTTTCATAAATTCTCTAAGTCACCCTCCTCTTCATCTAGGCTCCCGCCTCCATGTCCAGGGCAGAGGCCAACACCAGCCAGACCCTTGGAAACGCCACCATGGAGAAATGTAAGTGCCTGTGACGGGGGAGGGGTCAAGCATGGCAGGGGAAGAGCTGGGCCGCAGGAAGGCCACCCCTGCCCGGCCGCTGCTCTGTTCAGTCCCAGGAAGGACGGCTGCCAACAAGCCTAGCTCCTGGACGGGGGTCAGGCCCTGTTGTGGAGGCTGAGGGAGGCGGTCGGTGGGGCCTCGGACTCAGAGCCCACCGGGGTGGCAGAGGTGGGGAACTGGGAGCCAGGCATGGGGTCAGCTCTCAGCAACCTGGACCGCCCCCGGCAGGCAGCCACCTCTTCGTGGACACGGGGCTGCCCGACCTGGCCGTGGGGCTCATCCTGCTGGCGGGCTCCCTGGTGCTCCTGTGCACCTGCCTCATTCTGCTTGTCAAGACACTCAACTCCCTGCTCAAGGGCCAGGTGGCCAAGGTCGTCCAGAAGGTCATCAACACTGGTGAGCTGTGAGCGGGGAGAGGCTAGACAGGGCCCCAGGACGGGCCCTTCCAGATCCTGCTAAATCTTGCCAACGCCTTGGTCGGGGTCAACGCCATCTCTGAGCCCCAGTTTCCCCATGTGAACAAAGAAGGTGGTTTCTGAGGCCCCGGGAGGTGCTGACAGCTAGGACCTGTGGCCATCTCTGGCTTGGTGCCCTCCTAGCAGGAGGTGCCCCAAGGCCGTTGTTAGACTCAATCAAAAGACAGCCATTAAGCCCCTCCTATGTACCATGCTTGGGTAGTGCCAGGGATTCTGAGGCGAGGCTGATAGAGATGGATGCTGCTCTGGGGGGCTCAGGACCCCCAGGGAGAGCCGAGAAATTTAAAAATAAAGGAATGAGGCCGGGCTCAGTGGCTCAGTCTGTAATCCCAGCACTTTGGGAGCCCGAGGTGAGTGAATTGCCTGAGCCCGCAGGTTCGAGACCCGCCTGGGCAACATGGTGAGACCTCATCTCTACAATAAATCAAAAAATTAGCCGGGTGTGGTAGCACGCGCCTGTAGTTCCAGCTACTTGGAAGGCTGAGGCGGAAGGATCGCTGGAGCCCGGCAGGTGGAGGCTGCGGTGGCCAGGAGCAGCCGTTGCACTCCAGTCTGGGCGACAGAGGGAGACTCCAACTCAAAAAAGTAAATAAATAAAGGAATGAGGGGAATAAATTCAGAGAGGGAGAGCAGGAACTGCCAAGGAGGCACAGAAATGGCAGCACGCTACAGTATGGAAGAGGCTGCTTTCAGCAGGCAGCCAGAGGCCGCTCTGAGGAGGTGGTCTGAGCAGAGCCTTAGACGAGGGGTAGTCAAGATGTGGCTGGCGGAAGAGCATTCGGGGTAGAGAGAACAGCAAGTGCAAAGGCTCAGAGCCAGGGACCAACCAGGCAGGGATGTGGCATAAGAAATGTGAACAGCAGCTGTCAGGGGCAGGGTGGGCAAGGGGGGCGGTGTGTTGGTGAGATGGCAGGGATGGAGCCAAGGCATGGGCCTCCAGGTTCTGCTCAGAGCCTGCTTTTTGTTTTGTTTTGTTTTGTTTTGTTTTGTTTGAGTTGTGCTCTCTGTCACCTAGGCTGGAGTGCAGTGGCACAATCACGGCTCACTGCAGCTTCCAACTACTGGGCTCAGGTGATCCTCCCACCTCAGCCTCCTAAGTGACTGGAACTACAGGTGTGCGCCACCTTGCCTGGCTAATTTTATTTTTATTTATTTTTATTTATTTTTTGAGTTGGAGACTCACTCTGTCACCCAGACTGAAGTGCAGTGGCCGCTCCCGGCCACTGCAGCCTCGCCTCCTGGGTTCCGGCGATCCTTCCGCCTCAGCCTTCCGAGTAGCCAGAATTACAGGCATGCGCTACCACGCCTGGCTGATTTTTTGATTGATTGTAGAGATGAGGTCTCGCTGCCCAGGCGGGTCTCGAACCCGCGAGCTCAGGCAATCCACTCACCTCAGCCTCCCAAAGGCGCGGGATGACAGGCTGAGCCACCGAGCCCGGCTGGCTAATTTTTAAAATTATTTTTGTAGAGATGAGGTCTCGCTATGCTGCCCAGACTGCTCTCAAACCCCTGGGCTCAAGTAATCCTCCCTCGGCCTCCCAAAATGCTGGGATTACAGGCGTGAGCCACTGCACCCAGCCTAGAGGCTGGACTTTATTAAGGGTAATTGGAACACTTGAAGGGCTCAGAGCAGGGGAATGGCACCATCTGATTTTCATCTTAAACTTCATGTTGAGCTTTTGGGGTGTGGCACCGGGAGAGGTGACAAATACTGGACTGAGGGGGCATCCATGGGAGCTCAAAGGGAGAAACAAAGTCAGACTGAGGACAAGGGTCAGGGAATGCTTTCCAGAGGACGTGACATCGTCCTGAGCCTAAGGATGAAAATTGAGATGCTGAGTAGGATATTCCAGGCACAGGGACCAGCCAGAGCAAAGGCACTGCGGCCTGATAATCGGGCCTTCGGTCCAAGATCAGAGAGGCCAAGTCGAGGCTATGGTGAAGGAGCAGGAGACTGACAGGGCCTAGTGGGAACCTGACATCCAAACGTCTCCTCCCGAGGAGATCTGTCCCCCATTCCCCCGCTGACCAGGCCTGCTGGGCCGGGCTTCCCTTGCAGACTTCCCTGCCCCCTTCACCTGGGTCACGGGTTACTTTGCCATGGTGGTGGGTGCTGGCATGACCTTTGTCGTCCAGAGCAGTTCTGTGTTCACCTCGGCCATCACCCCACTCATTGGTGAGTGTCCATGCCCAGCAGAGGCAGGACTGGGCAGGGGGGCGAGGCTGGCCGGGAAAGGGCTGCGAGAGGGACCGGAGGCACCCACAGCCCCTCCCTCCACCCCCCAGGCCTGGGCGTGATCAGCATCGAGCGTGCCTACCCCCTCACCCTGGGCTCCAACATCGGCACCACCACCACAGCCATCCTGGCTGCCCTGGCCAGCCCCAGGGAGAAGCTATCCAGCGCGTTCCAGGTGAGTCGGGGGAGAGGAGCCCTGTTGAGGCGGGATAGGGTTGGGCCTGGGTGTGGGGCCGGACAAGGGTGTGGGGACACATAACCAGTGCTTTTTGACTGCCCACTGAGGCCCACCCACTATGCTCTACGGAAACCACTGTGGGCAAAGCCGACCTGATACCACCCTCAAGACCTCAGCATCCAACAGGGGGCACAGCTCAGTGACCACAGCCACAGACAGCAGCGAGTTGGATTTGCTATGAGAGGGGGCCTGGCCCATACTGGGGGGTCCAGAATGAACAGAGTGGATGGCGGGGTGGAGAAGGGGATGGCCAAGAGAGCTGTCCCAGAAGCAAGGGAGTAACTGACCAGCTAAGAGTCCAGGGCTGCGGGGTTGTGACTGCATCTGCTGGGGACGCCTGCGCAAGGTGTCCGTGAGGGGAACGTGGAGAGTTCAGGTCGTCATTAACCAGCCGGCCCAAAAGTATTTCGGCGTTTTCATACCCAGCACAGCCACCCCTATGCCCTAGGAGCACATCTGCCCCAAGAGGTCGGCTGCCAGACCAGGTCGGCACACGGCACCTATCCCCGCTGGCCTGAGTCGGGGCTGGGGGCCGTGCCCACCTCTGCCCCCCGCTCCCTCCCCTGCAGATTGCCCTCTGCCACTTCTTCTTCAACATCTCGGGCATCCTTCTGTGGTACCCCGTGCCCTGCACGCGCTTGCCCATCCGCATGGCCAAGGCGCTGGGCAAACGCACCGCCAAGTACCGCTGGTTCGCCGTCCTCTACCTCCTCGTGTGCTTCCTGCTGCTGCCCTCGCTGGTGTTTGGCATCTCCATGGCGGGCTGGCAGGCCATGGTGGGGGTGGGCACGCCCTTCGGGGCCCTGCTGGCCTTCGTGGCACTCGTCAGTGTTCTGCAGAGCCGGAGCCCTGGGCGCCTGCCCAGGTGGCTGCAGACATGGGACTTCCTGCCATGCTGGATGCACTCGTTGCAACCCCTGGACCGCCTGATCGCCCGTGCCACGCTGTGCTACGCCAGACCTGAGCCCCGCTCACCTCCACTGCCCGCCAGGGTTTTCCTGGAGGAGCTGCCCCCCGCCACACCCTCCCCCCGCCTGGCACTGCCCGCTCACCACAACGCCACCCGGCTCTAGGCTGCAGGTCGAGATGACCGCCTGGAGCGGGAAAGGGCCCGTGCAGGGAGCCTGGGGAGAAAGGGGGTGTGTGTGTGTGGTGTGTGTGTGTGTCTATGCCACCCGAGTACCAGCATCCTTATGCAGGTACACAGCAGTCTGGGCTTGTGCGACGGAGCCAGCGTGCATGCAAGCATGGGTATGTTCTAGAGCGAGTCTGGGTCCACCTGTCCACTTGTAGAAGCTTGTATTTGTGTATAAGTGTGCCAGCCCATGCACGTGTTCAGACACACCCGTGGAGGCTGTGTACGGGTTACAGGGCACCCGGGTATGAGTTCAGATCTTTGCACGTGTACACACGACCACAGCGGGCAGGAATGAGGGTGGGCCTGAATGCGTGACCGTGCGGCTGCCTGCTTGTGCATAGATGTGGGTGCTGGGACCACTGAATCCCCCCCCCACCACCCTCCATCCTTCATGGTGCCAGCCTCCTCGTCCTCACCCAGGTCTTCACCACCACCACAAACCCCTTGCTAACACTGCTGAAGAAGAAGAAGGAATTAAACTCTCCTTAGGCATTTGGATGTCTTTCTTCCCTGCCTCTCTGGGGAAGGGCAAAGCCAAGGCTTGGCGTTCGGCACCACCATCTTCCCTCAGAGGCTCGCTGTGCCCTGGCCAGACACAGTCCGTGCTGGAGAAGCCAGCCCCCACCCGTCTGCCACGCCTTGCCTCAGTGAGTCCAGTCCACAGTTCACTCTGGCTGGAAGTCCCTTCCAGGGCCCAGGCCCACACCGAGGCACGTGCCGGGAGGACTCTTACTTCCCACTCGACCCCACCAGGCTGGGCCTCCTCTGGTCTCGCCCTGCCCTCTGAATGCGCCCACCTCAGCCCACACCCACTCCACCTTGCTCGGGGGCCCAGAATGGGGGACAGGAGGGGGCTTGTCAGGGCCATGGGGGGAGGGCATGGGAGCGCGCGGGTGGGCAAGACAGGCCATGTCCAGGGCCCCAGTGCACAGTGGGCAGGAACCAGGTGCCTTCCCTCGCCACCCCCGTTTTGGGCAGTAAACTAGGCCTCACTTACCCCCGCCCCCATCCAAGCTTTCCAGTTCCTCCTCCACAGAGAAGCTGATGCCTGCAGAGTGGGGGTCAAGGGGCAGGGATGCCCGAGCTCCTTTCCCTAGTCCAGGGACTCCTCTGGGGCCTCTGGACCCCAACAAAGCAGGAAGGAGGAGAGCAAGCTGCAGCCCCTGTTGTGATGATCTTGGCTGTGTGCCCTCTCAACGGGTCCCCCTTTTGAGGCCTATGGGGGAGGCGAGGGGCCGGGAGCCCCAGCACTGCTCTCCAGGCTGCCAGCCCCATCCTGTACCCATGCACACCCCTTGCCAAGAGCTCGCCCAGCCAAGGTGGGGGTTCGAGAAGTACACCACCTCCAACCTGACTCGCTGATGGGGAGAGGCATTGGCAGGGCGCAGAGGGGACGCCCTTGACCGTCTGGCCCGGATGGGAATGTGGAAATATCTCGAGGATGCTGAGGCCTGAGACAGTTTGAGGAGGCCCGCCCTTGGACTCTTACTCTGCGAGTCCCTGGGACCCTGGGAAGGAGCCAAGGAGAGGCAGTCAGGCGGGAGGCCTCTGCAAGGCCGGCCCGAGTATGGGAGGGCAGGGTGCAGGGACAGGAGCTGGGCAGCCCCTGGACTCGGCCAGTCTCCTCTCCTGGACCAGGGCCCTCGCGCACCACTCCCCGCGCGCAACCAGCGGAGGAGCCCGCGGCGCCCAGGTCACGGTTTATTGGGGGCCCTAGGCGCCCCGCGAGCGCAGCTCCCGCAGGAGCCCGTGCGCCGTCCT